ACTTGCATTGCCAAGGCAGCTAAATCCCATTCAACCAAATTTTGATATTTGTCCTTCCCAGGACTGCGAGATTGTATATGATAAAAATCAGATCTAGTCCAGAGGGCAATCTATGCCCAAATCAGAGGAAGCATTAACACCTCCCTCCTCTGCAAGGTCTTCTAGATCCCTCAGCACATAATTCTCTGAATGTGTGAACTTCTGGGGACAATTCTGAACATTGGGATCCAGACTCTGCTCACAAACATCTTTATCCTGTTCACAGAAAAAATGTTTTTTGAGGATAATTCTTCTAATAAATTTATTAACATCCAAAATAATGTCAAACAGATTAAAATGTGTCTGTGGCCAAAAATGGAGTCCTTTGGTGAGAAGGGACTCCTCATCAGGAGTGAGAGATCTATTGGAAAGATTTAATACATTAACAGTGCCTGTTACATCCTGTGGGGTGGTACCCGCAATGGATACCGATTGCCACCTGTTGTTCCTTCCCGTCCTTTTCCTCTTCTTGTCTTTTTGTGCCCTTTTCATGGCCCTTCTTGTGATGTTTGTACTTTTGTTTTCTGTTTTTTTGAGGAGACAGGTGTACTGGTTCCATTCTTCTGTCTGAAAATTGATGGTTGTAGAGACGAATGATCCGAATCAGAGGCAGCCATAGTCTCCTCCAGAAATTCTGCTTCAGTATCAGAGAAGCTAATATGTTTCCCACCTGGAAGGTTGCCCCAGGAGCGTTCGTTGTTTCTAGATATGAACCGTGTTTGTGTCGTAATCCAATTTATATTTTCTCTTTCTTATCATCTATGATTTCCTTTTCTAATCGATCCAATTTCTTATTTAGGCGTTTGTCCAATTCAACAAATTCAGCCGCATTTTGGAGAGGTTTAATGTCCTCTTGTAAAACAGAGATTTCCTTCTGAAGGTTTTCAGTCTCTTTGGTCTTTGAGAGGATAATGAGGTTCATAAGAGTAAAGGAGCGGGTGGAAAGAGTGTCCGTCCTCTGTTTCCTTAAATCATCATCGAATAATTCAAATGTAGGAAATGTCTTTATACGTAACCCCTAGGTATTCGTTCAAGGGGCAAATATTCAGATAGTGAACTAGAGTCCCAATAGGCTCTGATCTCCTTTGACATATTCCTTTCCAGGTTGTGGAAAAGCAGCTGAACAGAGCTGGCCGTCCCATCCATATTGGGATTTAAAGTCTCATGTGCATTAGCTGTGAGCGGATTATCTCCCAACAACCTGAACATCTATATAGTATAGAAAGACATCTCTACTAGTGTGACCCGACATCTCAGTAATTGTCATGCAGGAGATATTACAGCAGTACAGGTACAGGGCACTGAAAAAATCCGTCCTATAAAGAGGTGGAGATACGTTTTTATGGTTATGTAAAAGGAAGATATTCTGGATATTCCATCTAAATACACGTGTCCTGCGGGGTGTGATCCAGGGGCGGACTGACCATTTGAAAACTCTGGCACTGCCCGAGGGCCCGGGGTCAGTAGGGGACCCCATGAGATGCCCCTGGTACCTTTTTCATAGGCTTTTTTGAGTTTGGGCAAGGACACAGGGGCCCCATGATCCCCTATTGCCCGGGCCCCATGAGTTGTCAGTTCACCCGTTCATGTTTGTAGTCTGCTTATAACTGAGGTCTTCCAGCCCCTTTATTAGCTTTTTTACCCTTCTCTAGACTATCTCCAGATCCAGCACATCCAACCTGAGGACTGGTGACCAGAACTGGACATCATAGTCCAGATGTGTCCAAACCAGCATTTTGTAAAGTGGGAGAATTATCATTTTATCTCTGGAGTAAATTCCTCTTTGAATTCATGGGGAACTCATGCCTGGGGGCCCCATGAGTTGTCAGTCCGCCCCTGGTGTGAACCATGAATGGGACATCACATATTTTTATGATTGATAGAGAACGTCTCTAGTGTTCATTTGGGCACATCATGCACCCCATGTGTACACATTTATGTGCACACCATTCCTTTTCTCCTTTGGGATTCTCTTTTTGTTTTTTGATGCATTACTTTTGATATATTTTTTCTGCTGTTTTGATATATTCCTGTCTGTATATATATGTTTTTTTTGTGATTTTTTTTTTGTACTTTATCCCAAGTAGACATGCGTTTTTTGTATATTATTATCATTTACAAATGCAGTTTCTCAGCCCTATCTTCTTGAGATATTTATTCGCTTTCATCTGTGTTTGTATATGCTATTTCATTTATAATTATTTTTATTTATAATTTTTTTACTCTTTCTTTGTTTCTCTTGTTATTCCACTTCGTTTTTTCTTTTCTTCCTTCCTTTTTCTCTGATATCACTGTTTTTGATACAATGATGTTATTACAATGTACTAGTATGTGTATCCTCAGGATTCAGGAGTGCTGATTAGGATGGATGTTCTTTATTACCTAATACCTATATAAGACATAAGCACTTTTATTGTTTTCTTTGTTATGATTAATCACGCGATCATGTGAAACACGTTAACAGGTCCTGTATTCATGTCCCGGTGTTTTGATTGTCCTATGGATTAATACATACTGTATACACTATATTCATCTATCCTCTGGTGTGTGGCTAACACTTCTTGTTATACCACATCCACAGCCCCCCCTCTGTCCAAGTATACCATGTCCACTGCCACCCCTCTGTCCAAGTATACCACGTCCACTGCCACCCCTCTGTCCAAGTATACCACGTCCACAGCCACCCCTCTGTCCAAGTATACCACGTCCACTGCCACCCCTCTGTCCAAGTATACCACGTCCACTGCCACCCCTCTGTCCAAGTATACCATGTCCACAGCCACCCCTCTACCAAGTGTAGCACGTCCATCCCTGTGTCCAAGCATACCACATCCCCCGCCACCCCTAGGTCCAAGTATACCACATCCACCCCTCTGTCCAAGTATAGCATGTCCACCGCCACCCCTCTGTCCAAGTATACTACGTCCACAGCCCCCACCTGTCCAAGTATACCACATCCACCAGCACCCCTCTGTCCAAGTATACCACATCCACCGCCACTCCTCTAAGTATACCACATCCACAGCAACTCCTCTGTCCAAGTATGCCACGTCCACCGCCACCCCCTCTATCCAAGTATGCCACGTCTACCCCTCTGTCCAAGTATACCACGTCATGAATCCATGCTGTCTGTGGCTTACAATATTTGTTTCCAGCAAGAACTCCTCTCTGTGGTCTTTTATTAAACTCTCCAGTATCTTCCCAACTTTAGAAGTTACACTAACAGGTCTATAACTTGGGAAAGATTTTGACCCCTTTTTGAATATTGGCCCCACATTGGCCTTACACCAATCCAGTGGTACTATGCCAGTCATTAAAGAGTCCCTAAAAATGAGAAACAATGGCTGTGAGATGACAGAGCTGAATTCTTTAAGGCCCCGTGGGTGTCTGCCATCCGGTCCAGGGGCTTTATTCACCTTTACTCTGTCTAAATATTTCTGCATCATATCAATTGTGAGCCAATGTGGATCATCTGGGGGGTGTCAGTACCACCCCCAATATGGACAAGAGCCCCCCCCATGCTCCTTTGTATACACAGAGCTGAAGAAGGGATTTCATACATTGTCCTTCTCTTTGTCCCCAGTCACTCCCTCTAGATGGTTCTGTAAAGGGCCTACATGCTGGGACCGGACCTTTCTACTATTCATAGATTGGAGGAATGTTTTGGGGTTCGTCCTGATATATCTTGCAATCTGTCGTTTCGTTTTCAGTTTTTGCGCCTTTATTTCCTTTTTGCGTATTCTGTTCTATTCTTTGTAATGTGTAAACGATGATCGCGTTCCTTCATTTTTATATTTAATAAAAGCTCTTTTCTTATTATCTATCGCTTTTGTAACTTTGGCCGTAAGCCACATAGGTTTGATTTTTAGCCTTTTATACTTGTTGCCCATGGGAATATATTTTGCAGTGTGGTCACATACAGTCTTTTTGAAGAACTCCCCATTTCTGTGTTGTGTTCATCGATGCCAATATGCCCTCCCAGTCTAAGTCTTGGAGAGCAGCTCTCAGCCTTGGAAAATTAGCTCTCTTAAAGTTGAGCATTTTTATTTTTCCCGTATGTGCTCGCTGTTTACAGCTAACAATAAATGAAATCATGTTATGGTCACTGCTACCCAGATGTTCTTTTATATGGACATTCATAATAAGCTCTTCATGGTTGAAGATGACCAGGTCAAGCAGAGCATCATTCCTAGTTGGGGCCTCTATGAACTGGACCATAAAATTGTCCTGTAGTAGGTTTATACATTTTTACTCCTTAACTGTTCCTGCAGTACCATTACTCCAGTCACTTTCCGGGTAGTTACCACCCCCCATTATTATCACTGTCCCAGCCCTTTCCATCTGTGCAAGGAGCTGAGTCTCCACCTCCTCATTAACACTGGGAGGCCTATAACAAACTCCAATGATGACCTTTGTAGTACGCCCCCCATGTGCAGTTCCACCCATAATCCTTCAGCCTCATCACACTCTCCATCAACTAGGTCCTCTTTCACACTCGCTCTGAGATCACTTCTCACATAGAGACAGACACCACCACCTTTCCTATTTCCCCCGTCTCTCCGAAAGAGAACCTAGCCAGGAATATGAATGGCCCAGTCATGTGAGGAATGAAGCCAAAATTCAGCAATACCAATTCAATCCTAGTTCTCTTCATGCACCAAACCTTCCAACTCACCTATTGTGCTGGGCACACTTCTGGCATTGGTGAACAAACACTTTCATTCACTGACACCTTGTTCACACGGATTTTGTGTATTTTTTATTTTCATACAAATGGTACCAATTCCACTGGTTGTTTGTAACATGGGAACCTTCTTATCTGCCATAGCCCTCCCCCCATTCCCCACCCCCCAGGAGTACTGACCCCTGTCTGATCTGTCTACCCCGTTATAATCTCAGATGTACAGGAAGACAGGACTGCAGTGAGGAACATTTCCCTCACTCAGGACAGGAAAGTGGCTTCACCCGCGTGTGAGATCTCTGATGTCTGTAAAGATGGGACTGATCTGAAAAACATTTTCCACACTCAGAACAAGAATATGGCTTTTCCCCTGTGTGAGATCTTTGATGTGTACACAAAGAAGATGGGACTTCACTGAAAAACATTTCCCACACTCAGGACAAGAATACGGCTTCTCCCCGTGTGAGATCTCTGATGTCTGAGTAAAGATTGGACTTCATGAAAAACATTTCCCACACTCAGGACAGGAATACGGTTTCTCCCCCGTGTGAGATCTCTGATGTGTGTAAAAAAGGCTGGACTTCAATGAAAAGCATTTCCCCACACTCAGGACAGGAATACGGCTTCTCACCCGTGTGAAATTGCTGATGTCTATAAAGATTGGACTTCTGTGAAAAACATTCCCCGCACTCAGGACAAGAATACGGCTTATCCCCTGTGTGAGATCTCTGATGTGTGTAAAGATGGGGCTTCTCAAAAACAACATTTCCCGCACTCAGAACAGGAATACGGCTTCTCCCCTGTGTGAGATCTCTGATGTGTGTAAAGATTGGACTTCACTGAAAAACATTTCCCGCACTCAGGACAGGAATACGGCTTCTCCCCCGTGTGAGATCTCTGATGTTGCAAAGGTAGGACTTCTGTGAAAAACATTTCCCACACTCAGGACAGGAATACGGCTTCTCCCCCGTGTGAGATCTTTTATGCCTATTAAGACGGATTTATAACGGAAACCCTTCCCACACTCAGTACAGGAGAATCTCTTTCCCTGTTGGAAGGCCGGCCCGGTCCCGCACAGTCTGAGGTTCCTCAGGATACGAGGAATCCGATGGTCCATCTACACTGGGTGGTGCCGGATGGACATTGGAGGGAGCCGGGTTTTCTCCTGGACTATACTGTGTGATGTCCTCATCTTCTACTTTCCAGTCTGGAGACAAAGTGAGACAATCCTCGGAGGTTTTCCTCATCTCCCGGCCATGGACTAAAATACAAAGACAAAGAGGATTACTAGACAGGAGCTGATTGGTTTCCCCCAAACCAGGACTCCGCCCACATCAGGCAGCTTGGTCTCTGAGGAGCTTACAATTCCACCCTCAAGGGAACTAGGAAATGGCTCCTCTGATCTCCTACCAGGTCATTTCTTTATTCATGGACCTTAGTCAGAGAGTGAGGAAACAACCAGAACTGTCTTTTATAGGAGGGACAGTGATGAGGGGATTATAGGACGAGGGTCCCCACCCCCTCTATCACTCATCGCCATCTTCCCAACACAAGAAGTACTGCACTTCCTTATTTAGTCCATGATTTAGTCATGAAGAACAGCGGGGCTGAGCCCCACCAGAGGTCAGAGAGTGAGGATGGGGGGGAGAACAACCAAGATGAAGACTGGACTGATCCTGAAGACCACCATCATTGGGGTATTGACTCCTCCCTCATTATCACTTTCTGTTTAAGGGTCCAAAGTTGGAGGATGTTATCACATTATTATCACCATGTAAAAGTCTGTGCTCCAATCACATCATCCGATATAAAATGTCCAGCTGGTAGGAAATGGGTGTAACAAAAGAGAATCCATATTATGTGTATATATAGCAGTGGGGGGAGGGGGGAGAGCAGAAGGCAGGACTATGTAATGTACAACATAGAGTATATAGTGCAGGGGTCAGGAGTATGTAATGTACAACAGAGTATATAGTGCAGGGGTCAGGAGTATGTAATGTACAACATAGAGTATATAGTGCAGGGGTCAGGAGTATGTAATGTACAACAGAGTATATAGTGCAGGGGTCAGGAGTATATAATGTACAACATAGAGTATATAGTGCAGGGGTCAGGAGTATGTAATGTACAACATAGAGTATATAGAGGAGGGGTCAGGAGGATGTAATGTACAAGTTATATAGTATAAGGGTCAGGACTCACAGTATTAGTAATCTGTAATAGTGGAAGCTTAAATGTTTACTGTAGACAACATGTAGAGTTGAGCTGGGATTAAGCCATCACGAAACAGGTTAGATTGGAAGTGACCAAACCCTTGGACAGAGGGGTGGCGGTGGAAATGTTACACTTGGACAGAGGGGTGGCTGTGGACGTGGTACACTTGGACAGAAGGGTGGGGGTGGACGTGGTACATTTGGACAGAGGGGTGGGGGTGGACGTGGTATACTTGGACAGAGGGGTGGGGGGTGGACGTGGTATACTTGGACAGAGGGGTGGCGGTGGACGTGGTATACTTGGACAGAGGGGTGGAACGTGGTATACTTGGACAGAGGGGTGGGGGTGAACGTGGTATACTTGGACAGAGGGGTGGCCGTGGACGTGGTATACTTGGACAGAGGGGTGGTGTGGACGTGGTATACTTGGACAGAGGGTGGGGGTGGACGTGGTATACTTGGACAGAGGGGTGGCCGGGGTGGACGTGGTACACTTGGACAGAGGGGTGGGGGTGGACGTGGTACACTTGGACAGAGGGGTGGCTGTGGACGTGGTACACTTGGACAGAGGGGTGGGGTGGACGTGGTATACTTGGACAGAGGGGTGGCCGTGGAATACTTGGACAGAGGGGTGGCCGTGGACGTGGTATACTTGGACAGAGGGGTGGGGGTGGGGGTGGTATACTTGGACAGAGGGGTGGCGGTGGACGTGGTATACTTGGACAGAGGGGGGGAGGGGTGAACGTGGTATACTTGGACAGAGCGTGGACGTGGTTATACTTGGACAGAGGGGTGGCCGTGGACGTGGTATACTTGGACAGAGGGGTGGCCGTGGACGTGGTATACTTGGACAGAGGGGTGGCCGTGGACGTGGTATACTTGGACAGAGGGGTGGCCGTGGACGTGGTATACTTGGACAGAGGGGTGGCCGTGGACGTGGTATACTTGGACAGAGGGGTGGCCGTGGACGTGGTATACTTCGACAGAGGGGTGGCCGTGGACGTGGTATACTTGGACAGAGGGGTGGCCGTGGACGTGGTATACTTGGACAGAGGGGTGGCGTGGACGTGGTATACTTGGACAGAGGGGTGGCCGTGGATGTGGTATACTTGGACAGAGGGGTGGCGGGGGACGTAGTATACTTGGAGACAGTTCCCCACACACGGCTAATGTGTAAGGTAAAGTCTATAGGCTGGAAAAATCAGAATGTAAATGGATAGAAAACTGGCAAAAAGATCGTATTCAGAGAGTAGTGGTTAATGATTCATACTCTGAATGGTCTAGGAGTGTCAGTGGTGTGCCCCAAGAATTAGTGTCAGCAGTGGGGTACCCCAAGGCTCAGTGTGACTAGTGGGGTACCCCAAGGTTGTTAGTGGTGTACCCCAAGGTTCATTCTTATTAGTGGGGTACCCCAAGGTTCAATGTTATTAGTGGGGTACCCCAAGGTTCAATGTTATTAGTGGGGTACCCCAAGGTTCAATGTTATTAGTGGGGTACCCCAAGGTTCAGTGTTATTAGCCGGTTCCCGCCTGGCCTATGGCCAGATGGTGGCCGGGCGAGCACCTCGTTCCTCTGGGTGGAAGCCATATGGGATCTTTCCAGGCTTGTGCAGTTTGCATACCCCCAAAGCGGTGCGATCTGTCACTGGCCGTGTACCTCGGACACGGACGTTGACAGATCTGTGTACCGGCCCCCGTTGCCAGTACCAAGTGACCTGCTCTGTGACCAATCACTGCAGGTCACATGACTGTTGTATACAAT